GGGGGCGCCTACTACTACTACTACGACTACTACTACTACTACTACTACGACTACGTATTACTACTTAGAACAAGTGTTTTGTAAAAAGCCTGCCTAGGTAGGAATAAGAACCGCTCTGTTACCGCAGTCGTGCCTCACTCTCTGTGTTCGTGGATGTTAGGGCAGGGTTTATGGTTTAGGGTTTAAGGTTCAGGGTGTAGGGTTCAGGGTGACTCTGTTTTTGCAGGTTCGTGGCCTCGCTTCAGTGTAGGAAAGTGGCAGTCTACGGAGCGTTTGAATAAGCCTCGTCATGCAGAGAATGCACAGCACAAGATGTTATCCATCCAAACTACTGCAAGTCTACAGTCCCCTTAAGTAGATAGCATATATGGGGTATATGGGGATCTTATAAAAAGCATACCCAAAGCCATATTCTATCTACTTAACAAAAAATCCCTAAGCTGCATACCAAAATATAGTATACATTAATTTCATCTACTATAATCTACTAAATAATGCGAAGCCTTGACACTAAAGCCAGAATCCTAGAGCCGCTCCGATCGAAAAGAGCGTGGTCTCTGTTTGATTTCTGGTGGTCAGTAGGGAAGAAGGGAACATATTTCGTAGGGAGTATTTAGGGTTCTACACAGCGATTATGTGCCTAAACTCAGAACCTTATGTAGGGATTCTATGGGGATCATATTCCCTTATTCAATACTTACCACCAGTAAGTTGAGGTGCAAAGGCAAACGCGGTAGTCAACGCCTCGCAATTGACCTTTGAAGGAGGCACTGCCAGGCACTGAGAGGGGGTAAGGGTTTCGGTTTCAGGGTTTGGGTTCAGGGTTTGCGGTATGAGGATTCAGGGTTTAGGGTTTAGGGTTTGGGTTCAGGGTTTGGGGTATGAGGATTCAGGGTTTAGGGTTTAGGGTTTGGGTTCAGGATGTAGGGTTTAAGGTTTCGGGTACAGGGCTTAGGATTTTAGAGCGGCTTTGTTTTGGGGGTCCAGATAGTGAGGACTTTGTGGTTTGGGAGGACGGACGTCTAGCCATGACAAGAGTCGTAAAATGGAAGTATGGCATTCTGTAGACAGGGGATTTATTACAAGCACTTGAGAAGTATTGTTGGGATTATGCAGGAGGAGCTCGAATCCGAATCCTGAGGAACTGCGTGATAGGATCGGATCTTCGGGGTTGGGCAGGATTCTCTTTGCAAGCAATAGGTCCAAGATGTCAGCAATGGACACTGGCAGTATTAGTAGTTGCCCGCGCATCATTCATTATCAAAAGAAAGGTGCCCTGAGGATTAAGTACAAGAAGCAAGTCAATGACAAACGTGCGGGTAGTTGTCAGGGGATCTCGTGCGATTCTATGTTTCCAAGTGCATTCCAAAATTCCTGGGCTGCCTCTTGACACTCAACGTATTCTCAAAGCATCGGGCACTAAACCCTAAACCCTACACCCTAAACCCTAATAGTTCTAAAATATTATCCCTATGTATCCCCAATATATTATGGTAGTTTCCATTTTCTTTACCATTATCCCCAAGAATTATCAAGACGGTTCTTGCAAATTCTTGCGAACTGAGCTCAGGCCCAGAGCGTTGAAAACGTTTTCTGGGAGGGCCTCGCGACACGTCCGAGGCACCGTTCACAGTCATCGGGGGCTCTAAGTCTGCCGGAAATGGAAGATCCCTAAGAGGACCTAGGCATATTAAAAGTGTGAAAGCTGGTGTGAACAGCACTTAAGCCCGGGTCCCGCGGTACCTTTTGGCTCACTTCGCTTTCTTAGTTCGGCCGCTGAGCCATTGCTTTAGCTTTGTGCAAGCTGATGGAAAAGGGCGCCCCTTGCATTTGCTGAGCATTCGAAGCACACTGTTTCTTTGGCAAGTTCCAGTGTGAGTTGGCATCGGAGCTATGGATGCCGCTGGAGATCTCGGAGCCATACCGCTTGATGAGTTCATTGCTGGCCTGGCACGCAGTTCCGGCGGAGGATCGGATGTACGCTCCCGACCACCTGGTCTCGAGCCCGAGGTCTTCGGCGACTTGGATCCAGAAACCTTTGAGCATGAGCCCGATCACCCCAATGAACCCTTGTGGCGATGCCTCAGGTGCGACAGCAGCTCTTATGGGCTATTGGTTCTGGCTGGATGTGTTACACCTGCGGTTCCACGGCCTTCTACGATTGCACCGCACCTACGCGGCGAGAGGCCCAAGAAGGTACTTGGGTTTATGTCCCGAGGGGACGAGCGAGTCCCTCACCTTCGTCTTCTTCCTTCTTCCTCGACTTCATCTTCGACACTCGAGGCTTTCCGCTACCGGACTCCAACAGCTCGGTCTTCAATGCCGACCCCGGCAGTGACTTCGATCGGCTCTGGACAACCTCCCTTGAGGAGCTCGACACGTGGCGGCGGCCCACCTGATGGACCACCTCACGGTGAAAGGGCCGAGTCGGAGACGGCAACTGAGGATCAAAGTGTGGATCCGGATAACCTACAACCGCTTCCTCGGCCATCTCGTCGACAGCGGCGGGCAGCGGCTGCAGCGGGGCGCGGCGGCGGCCATGGACAAGGGCAACGTTCTCCGAACGAACAAGGTGCCGTTCCACCTGGCGCCGCTGGACTACGCGATTCCCCCGTGCCAGGCGGAGATGGCTGGCGATACCAGATGTTGCGCGACCTGGGCGACCTGAGAGTGAAACAGGGAGCCAAGTCCGAATGGAACTCCAGAAAGGGCCCCAGTCAAGGTGCGATGGCGCGGCGGGACACCCCCTACGCCACCAAGCTGGAGCTACCATCGGGATGTCTTGCGCGCCTACGATCGCTGAAAAAGAAAGGTCAGAATCTGGGAGCTCCAGGTGTCAGCCTACCTGCCCCCGAACGAAGCTGCCATGTCTTTGTACGTGCCCTTGAAGGGCGAGGCCGAGGAGGAGCTCGAACACGGCGAGCTGTCGAGAATCAACTGCTCCGAGGGGGTCAACAATATCCTCGAGATGCTTCGCAGTGCCCTTAAGACACGCGTCATTTACCAGAAGCGCAAGTACCTCTTCGACTTCGAGCACGTTGCCAGGTACAATGCGGAAAGCATTCGGTCATTCTGCGACCGCTACCACCGCATCGAGAGGTCCCTGATCGCCTGCAAGGTGGACATCGGAGCGATGTACGACAGTGAGGCCCGTGGAGCTCGGCTTCTTGATCGACTACGTCTCTCCGCTGAGCAGCAGCGCCTGGTCCTAGTCGGCACCGGTCAGTCTTTGCACTTCGACGCGGTCAAGGAAGCAGTCCAACTTCAGTTTCCCGACCACCGCCCAGTGCCACCGGTGACCTACACCCGCGAGTTCGACAAGGACAACGCCCGCGGCCAGGAGCAGCGACAGCCGAATGGTCGAGACGGCAAGCCGGAGTACAACAAAGGCAAGGGCAAGGGCAAGCCACGCCATGACAGCTCAAGCTCGAGTCGGCCCAACAAAGCGTTCGTGACGGAGAGGGTCGACGACCGGCAAGACACGCCTGACGATGACCATCTCCCGGACATCCGCGAGGAGGACGACGAGCCGCAGGACGAGGGCAACGACTTGGACGATGACGACCCCGAGTTGGTCCCCGACGGCGCGGACGACCTCGCCGAGGACGACGACATCGCCAGCGCGGTCATGGAGGCGGCGAATGTCCTCACGGTCACGGCCAGGCGACTCCAAGGCGTGAGGCTCGGCAGAAAGTTTTCCGGGCCCAAGCAGAGCATTGAGGACCGCAAGAAGCAATCCCATTGCGCAGCATGCGGAGAAAAAGGTCATTGGCGAGGCGACCCAAGCTGCAGCATGTCCGGGAAACCCAGTGGAGGCGGAAACGACAAGACCGGAAGCAAGAGCTTTCCAAAGGCTCAGGCCAAAAAGCCAGCCGGTTCGAAGGTCATGATTGTGCACCGCCCCGAGGGAGACCAGGTCGTGCCGATCGACGACCCCGCCGAGGAGAACTACTTCACGGCTTTCGTGTGCAAAGCTTTGGCAACTCACGTGCCAGATGTTTTCATCGCCAAGCCTGGCGACTTTGCAGGATATGCTGTGCTCGACACTGCCTGTCAAAAGACAGTTTGCAGCCGGCAATGGCTAAATGGCCACCTGAGACGCCTGAAGCAGCACAAGCTGACTGCCAAGGTGACCGAGGAAAAAGAGGGCTTCCAGTTCGGGGTCGGCGAGGTGCAGTTCAGTGCTGAGCATGCTTACTTGCCGGTGTGTTGGGGCAGCACAAGTCAGACATGTTGTTTGCTTGGCACGAGCGTGATGCACAACAACAGTGACATTCCTCTTTTACTTAGCTTGCCGCTAATCGAGCGCAAACTCCGAGCCGTGCTTGACTTCCCTAAGGGATGTGCCCGCCTTGGAGCTTTTCAGACCGAAGTCCCCATCGTAAAGATCAACGGACACATTTGCATTTCCATTTCTGAATTCCCTCCTGACAAGGAACCTTGGTCACTTCTGAGCAGCATTCTTGATCAAGGACGTTCCGACTCGGAGCTTGTGCGCCTACCTCCACCTCTCGTCGAGACGACGCCTGATGGAGACAAGCCGACCTCCTCCTGCGTGGCTTCAAGGATGGCGGTACCTGGTTCGCCAGATCTTCGCGGCAGAGATGATTTTCGCCAAGTTCATGGTTCAGACCGTGCGCTTGGGACTTCGCAGTCGAAGCTGGCTGGCCCACCAGGATCCGATGCACCAGGAGATGGCCGAGTCCGTGATCCTGGAGGCAAGCAAACCATGCAGCCACCCTCCGGAACAGATGGTGCGCCGCGGCAACCAATACGGAAGGTTCTGCCGATGCGTCCAATGCGGAACAAAGTGGAGACTCAACGACAAGGAGGCCTGGGTCGAGCAGCCATCGTCGCAGCGGCCGCCGCTGCCGCGGCCATCAGAAACTTCTTCGGTGCGGCCGGCCTGGGCGAAACAAGTTCTACCAGAACAAGCTCCACGCACGACGTCATCGGCGACCTCGAGCTCCCTGAGTGCCTATGGCGCCCAAGCCAAGACGAAAGCCAAGTCCAAGCCAAGGGCCAAGAAGGCGAGCAGCAAGCAAGTGGTGACAGCGGAGGCGGACGAGGACAGCGACTTCGACTGGTCCCTGGTCCAAGACGACTGAAGCCAGGTGCCCAAACGTGGCTCACGAGCCACCTGCGCAACACCCGGCAGCTCTATGACCAGGAGCTTGAATCCTACGAGGGCATGCCGGTACACCGCGCCCTGCACCTCCATCATCGGATTGATTTGTTGGAAATTTTTGCGGGCGCTGCTCGTGTCACCGCCAATGCGCACCTGTATGGACTAGCTGCTCTCCAACCTGTTGACAAGGCTTTCGATTTCGACTTGTCCGAGCTCGAGGGCGTGCGTGCGCTGAAACATGCCATCAAGAAGTTCGAACCTCTTTGTGTATTGGTCAGCTGGCCGTGTACGCTGTGGAGTTTGTTCAACGAGAACCTGAACTACAGCAAGCAACCTGATGCACTAGGAGAACTCCGACACAAAGAACTTCCCGTGGTTGAAGCCGGCGCCTGGGCATGCGAAGAACAGCTGCGGCAAGGTCGGATCTTCCTTGGAGAAAACCCTGTCAGGTCTAGATTGTGGAGACTGCAGTGCGTCAAAGACCTCATCGGGCACCCCGACGTGAAGAGCGTTGATGGACATGCTGGCGCCTATGGCGCTGAGAACACCGAGGGCATGCCCATCATCAAGCCACTCCGGTGGATCAGCAATTCGGAAACCTTGCTGGAAAACCTGGGCAACAAGCTGTCTGAGGAACAGCAGGCGTATTGCGCCCCCGTCCAAGGCAAGGATACCAAATCCTCCGGCTACTACTGTGACGGGCTCGTCCATGCGATATTGGACGGCATTGCCAAGGAAGCTCGCCGCCGAAATCCTGCCAGGTTTGCCCACAAGGCCAAGGAGGTGTACTTTGCACGTCCAGTTCCAGATGCCCAAGCCTGGAAGCACATCATGGATGAACTCGAGGCCCGGTTCGCCAACACGCACAAGAAGCCGTTTGTGCTCTCGAAGGAGGACCCGCTTCACAAGGCCATCGAGCAGCTCATTCCTTGGAAGATAACACGCTTGCAGGCAACCTGGACACCTCAGGCAAGGCGGTTCCCAAGTGACATTCCTTTCACCCATCGAGGCGCAGTTCTCCGCCGGGCCGACGATGAATTCGTTCTCGAGGCTGAGGACCTGAGTTCCGTGCAGTACCCCAAGCAGCGGTACACAACCCATACGAGTTGGTTTGTTCTTCTTCGGGTACCCGAACCAGCAACCTCGGGAAGAACAAGGCCTTGAACTACATGGCGGCGATCCACCTGAACAACCCCCTGATGATGGCGTCGAACTTCGGCGACCTCCTCTGCTACCAGGCGGCAATCGTCAACTGGTGCCGGGCATCGAGACAGAGATTTGGTTCGAAGGCGGCGGCTCCATCGACCGAAAGCTACAGAACTCGCTGGCCCGCCTCCACGTGAACATGGGCCATGCGCCGAAAAGTGAGCTGGTGAGGATGCTCGCTGCCGCCGGCACGTTGAACCGAAAGATGATGATTGGCCTCGACGCCCTTCGCTGTGGAAGCTGCGTAAGAACCAAAATGCCAAGGCAACCACCTCCGGCATCAACGGTGACCTTCTCCGGGCGAGGTGATCCAGTCGGACGTTGTCTACTTGCGGGTCATTAACGGAAAGAACTTCGCGGTCCTGGGCATTTCTTGCGAGGCTACCTCCTACCACGCTGCCAAGGTGCTTGAAAGTCGAGCTCCAGCAGATGTGCTCAGAACCCTTCAGGAGATATGGTATCGACCACTGGGTCTGCCTTTGAAGTTCCGCTGCGATCCTGGAGGCGAGTTCGGAGGTGAAGTTATTCAGTTCCACATGCGTCACGGCATCACCCATGACGTCATCCCTGCCGAAGCGCATCACCGCCTGGGCAAGATCGAACGCCGCAATGCTCTTTTGAGATCTATTACTGAAAGGTTGGTGGATGAGCGTGGCATCGCCGACAAGGAGGCGCTGGACCAGTGCCTGATTGCCACGACCCACACCATCAACTCGTGCACTTTCACTCACGGCCGGTCACCTTACCAAGCTGTGTTTGGAAAGATTCCAAGGCCAATCGGCGACCTCATCAGCGATCCGTTCAGCCTGGTGATTTCTTCGTCCTGAAGTACTCCGAGCTGATGCTATGAAAGCCTTGGCAGAGCACTCCGCCAACTCTAGCATCAGGAGAGCGCTGCTTCGCAAGACGAGGAACCAGCAGGACCTGCAAGTTCTTCAACCAGGTCAAGCCGTGGCCTTCTGGAGATGGAGCGGGAGATCACGTCAACACAAGAAGGGCGCATGGGCCTTGGCGCGCTTCATCAGCCACGACCCCGACGGCAAGAGCATCTGGGTTCAGGTGAACACAACCACCGTCAAGGTTGCCAACAATCAAGTCAGACTGGCTTGTGGATGGGAAGAATGGACGCCCAGCCGGGAAGACATCGCCATGCTCAAGGATGCCGAGGCAAACGTTCGGCAAGACCTTTGGGAAGATGGCCGGGAGGAACCACCAGGCGCGCTCGAGGAGGCAACCAGCGAGCTCGCCGGACATGTTTTGGATGCACCTGCTCCACTACTACCTCGCCCAGCCGACTACTGCAGGTTCACCGACTACGAGGCCATCCGCGTGCACCTGGTTCCGCGACACGACCTCTACGTGCCGACCGAAGCCGAGTGCGAGTTTAACCCGGACGACCTCGATGACCTTCGGAAGACTTACATCCACGAGCACGACGAGCAACCATCTCATGATCAATGGCGCGATCCCCGGTGTACTCAAACCTGGGAGCACCCCTGGACCGGCAATACATCGTTCCGCTGGAAAACACCTGCTCAAGTTCCTCCACCTGGAGCACAAGCACCTCCTCCACTACCACTACGTCTGCCAGCGCAAGCCTCAGCAAGTTCACTTGGTCGAGCAGCGGCGCCGAGACAGCAAACCAACGTGCAGCAGGAACTTCGCCAGACCAATGTACATCATGAGCGCCATCAATCTGATGTTCGCAACCAAAAGACGAGTGTCAAGACGTACATTGACAATAGGTCCGTGACGGTCATGCCCTCTTCGCCTGTGCCACCGACTCCCAGGTCCAGGGCTCGGCTGAGGTCACGAACTCCCACCGGAAGGCAGCACGGACACCGCACAAAGGAGACGATAACCACGCGAAGCTCCTCCAGCACTACCTCAACCCGGTGACCAAACGGCGCCTATATGACTCCAGGCGTGCTGCCATTTAGTCCGGGCATTCCAGAGACTCCTCCCTTCAGCCCAGGAGTCCCCGGCGCACCGGACATGACAAGTTTTCCTGCGCCACCTCTACGTCCTCAAGATGATGACGAAGTTGACCTACATGCTCAGCTTTTTGCGCCAGACGCTGAAGGTGATGACGCGAATGCCGAGCTGAACGACACCACGCGCCACGAGCACAACGATGCCACCATGGCAGACAGCGGGCTAGCAGCTTTGGCAAGCCCAAGCGTTCCTCCGGAACAAGGTTCTCCTGTGTTTGAACCAGCAACAGCTGCTGAACAACTTGCAAGCGAAGGCAGCCGCCCCTCACAAGCTGCCAGCCTTCCAAAGCTTCCCCAAAAGAGACCTGTGGATGCCTTGTATTCGACAGGGGCTTACAAATTCTTTGTTGACAGTTTCGGGGAGGCTGTACTGGAAAAGCACGGAGAGGCTGACGACGTCCGACCTCCGTTTCGTCGTCAGCCATTTTACAGAAGCTATTTGAGCAGCCACGCGCGCAAGCAAGAGATGTCCAAAGACAACATCCATGACGACCCCAGCCGCGAGGACGCATCGTCAGACGATGAATCTATGACCATCTCCACCAACCGCACGCACTCCCGCCAGGAGCTCAAGCAGTTGGACCGCGAACTGCCCTGGAAAGAGATCATTAACCTCCCACGTGCCTCCTACGAGAAGTACTTGGAGTCAGTCAGGGTCGAGGAGAACAACTGGTTGAGCTGGGGAGGCATACGACCCCTTTCTCGCGAAGAGATCCGGAAAGTCATGGCAGATCCTGATCTCTCTCGTCGGGTTCTGAAAAGCAGAGCAGCTTACCGTGACAAGAACAAGGGCCTTGGAGAGATCAAAGCAAAGTGCCGAGTTGTGTTGATCGGATGTGCCGATCCCGACCTCTTTCATCTTTCTCGTGACTCTCCTACGCCTTCACAGCTTTCCGAGTCCCTGGTCCTTTCCATTGCGACGGCTGGCGCAAATGGGGAGATGAACAACGAACCAGGAAAGTGGAGCCTCTGGATCTCCGACGCAAAGAGCGCGTTCCTTCAGGGCGAGCAAAACCGAGAAGAGCGAGCTGGGCCTTTGTACATGCGCGCTCCTCGAGACCCCCTGGTGATCGAGACGGGCACGTTCTCCGCCGACCTCTACGAAGTCCTTGGCAACGGCTACGGACTTCCCGACGCTCCAAGGGTTTGGAGCCGCCGAGTGTTCAAGAGAGCCCTGGAAAATGGGTTCAAGCAGCACGCCTTTGACAAATGCCTCTTCTATCATCTTGATAGCAAAGGCAGACTGAGGGCGGTGATGATAGTACACGTGGACGACTTCCTGTGTACGTTCCACAAGGACTTCAACCGCGAGATCCTCGAGAACCTTTTCGTGTGGGGCTCGGTGGTCATCGTAGACAAGTTGACGCCCGGCTCCTACCGAGGCAAGGAGATCACGTTGGTCGAGCAAGGAGGCAGGATCACGTACAAGGTGACCCAGAAGTCCTTCATCGACGGCATGACTTCAGGAAGCATCGCACGTGGACGTTCCAAGGAGGACGAGAAGTTGACCGCAGAAGAATGGAAGGAATTCCGTTCAGTTTCGGGATCCCTGCAGTGGGTTGCTTCGCAGACACGGCCTGAGATAGGCCCAGTCGTGAGCCTCTCGAACCGCGGCCAGTCGACGACCTTCAACGACCTGAAAAGGCTGTACGAAACCGTCGACTACTTGAAGCTCACCAGCACCCAAGGGCTATGTTACCAGGACATACCCATAAGCATGACGACGATTGTCTTGACTTACACGGACTCCTCCTGGGCCAACACCCTCGACCTGAAGTCTCAGTACGGCGTGCTGGTGCTCCTCGTTCCCTCCCAGGTGACCGAAGTCGCCTCAAGAGCCACAGTCATCGATTGAAAGACTGCTCGAAGTACTCGTGTGTGCCGGAGTACCCTGGCGGCGGAGGCATCAGCGGCAGACGAGGGGGCGGACAGGTCGGCCTTCTCGAACATGTCCTTGAGTGAACTCCTCACCGGCGAGCCCGCGCACCGAGCTGGTTGTAAACTGCAGAGCTTGCATGCAGTGGACGCCAAGAGCCTGTACGACTGCCTGATCCAGGATAACCCCAACGTTGCTGATAAGCGTAGTCTCATAAACATCCGTTCTGTTCAGGAGACTGTCAGTCCAAAACAGGTGCACTGGGTCCCAACGCATCTTATGTATGCTGATGGGCTCACAAAGCTAGACGTGCAGCTTATGATGCATATGTCGGAGTGGCTTCAAAGCCCACTCGTGCAACTCCGTGAGGGTCGTGAGCCAAAGAAAAACAATACCAGTGTGAAAGCTGGTGTGAACAGCACTTAAGCCCGGGTCCCGCGGTACCTTTTGGCTCACTTCGCTTTCTTAGTTCGGCCGCTGAGCCATTGCTTTAGCTTTGTGCAAGCTGATGGAAAAGGGCGCCCCTTGCATTTGCTGAGCATTCGAAGCATACTGTTTCTTTGGCAAGTTCCAGTGTGAGAAAAAGAACACCATATTCTGGGTACGGAGAACATCTTGAGAAACTCCCATGCCATATTCGCGAAGTTGAGGGTGCGAGACTTAAGGTTTTTTCATAGCAAGACCATGTCGCAGCTTTGGGGGTTATCACTTTGGCATTTCGGAGGCCTTGGCAGATCATTAAAAGCCAGAATCAAGACTTGCCACAGGAACCACAGCGTAAACTCTGCGAGCACGTCAACAAACCCTATATGACACCGAACATTCTGCAGTGCAGAGTCAGTTCATTAATTCCCCTTGACTCGAATCAGGAGTTCTGCAGAAGAAGTGCTTCCTAAGGCGGTTGTGGACCCTAAACCCTAAGCCCCTAAACCCTAAACCTTAAACCCCTAAACCCTACACCGTAAACGCTGAACCCCTAAATCCTAAACCTCAACCCCTAAACACTGGGGCTTTGGCCTGTAACGGGAGCAGCCAAGACCGACCCCTCCAAAACAAAAAAGGCCTCTGCCAAAGGCAGTCGCTGGAGTGGTGCCAAGCCCAAAGAAATTAGGGTTGAGGATTAGGGGTTTGGGGGTTTAGGGGTTTGGGGTTTAGGGGTTTAGGGCTAGGGTTTTGGGGTTTAGGGGTTTAGGACTTGGGTGTTTAGGCGGATTTAGGGTTTTAGGGATTTAGGATTTAGGTGTTTGGGCGGGTTTAGGGTTTTAGGGTTTAGGTTTTAGGCCTCACCCTAGAGCCAGAAAAAATCCCAAGCAGCAAAGCAACGAAAGCATTAGAAAGTGGAAAATTCTGCAAAAAACGAGTTTTTCCCTTTGGGATGATAGTCAGGCCAAACCCTAACCCTCCAAATGCTAAATCTTAAGAATCCTGCAATCTCTGCAGCAACCCTCATACATACTGAAGCTGTCCATAGCCCTAAATCCTGTGGCTAAACCTCAGCCCCAAATATCAAACCTACATCCTAAACCCTGAGCATCACTTTCCACTTGATTTTCCATCTTCTTTTCTATTTGATCTGCCATTGTTGGGGTAAAATCCCTAGACACACACCCTACCCAAACCCTACACTCGCAATCCTAAACCCTAAATGCTACACCTTAATCCTATATCCTAAACCCTAAACTCTAAATCCTAAGCCCAAAACCATAACCTCAAATCTGAAATCCTATTATTTTACCCCTAACCACTACTTTGCTTCAGCCCGCTTAGACAGGCTATCGGCATCCGGCAGGGCTCAGTCCAGGCCCGTGGGCATTTTAGGTGAAGGGTTGAAGGCTGAGGGCTTAGGGATTGGGGTTTAAGGTTTAGGATTTAGGGTTCTTCAGGATTGAGGGTTGACGGTCCAAGGTTTTTGGGGGTTGGGTAGCAAGGTTTAGGCCGGTTTCGGCTTTCGGCTTTACTGGCCACAGTCTAGGGTTGGGATGGGATTTCGACGCTTAATGGATGGGGAATGCCATCATCTTGGGCTTTTCCCTTGAATGTATCTGCGGGTGCCCTGAAATGTCCAGACTCACTGATATGAGGGACCTTGCTTGCTGCAAGGAGGATCCTTGTTCTCTCTTCGGATGCCTGTTCAAGAGTAGTAGTATTTCATGTGGAAACCAAAGGCCAGAAGATAGGAGAAGGACCATCCATGAGAAAGACAAGCTGAGGCAGGATTCAAAAAGCGATCAGGAGCAGCTTGTGTTTTGAGGAAGGTACGTTGTAGCTCGTTCAGTGGGTTTGCGAGCAATTCTGCTAAGAATGAACGAGCAAGGCAACGCTCAATGCGTTTACAAGACTAGTTATCCACCCCCGCAAAAAACATGAACATGCCACTCCCTAATAACAAGTTCACCGACCACATTGGGGGGAACGTCCACAATTACTTCTTTGTATAGAGAGGGCGACGTACCCTGAACCACTAGAGCCTTAACTCTAGACCCCGATGGGGAGGTGGTCAAGAGTTTTGACATTGGCAAGAGTGAATTGTTCGGTTCACGACCTACATGGGACCTGCGTGTGTGCATTAGGCAATCTGACAATATCCTTGAACCCATTAACCCGAAACCTTAGATCCCAAATCCCAGACCCATTGACCCTAAACCCTAAGCTGTGTTGCCCTTTGTTTCAGGTTCGGCTCCCGATTGCCATGGCCATCCCCTCGGAGTGTAATGTTTAGGGCTTACCTAGACCCTCCAATGTAGTACTTTTTGGTAGTCCTAATAAGAGTCCTAACCAAATAACCATACCAAACCCAAAAAGGAACTACATTGGAGGGTCCAGGTAGGGTTTAAGGTTTCATCCGCTTGCTAGTTCCCTGGGGGCTTCAGGATTTTGGATCTAACATTTATCATTTCGGGCTGGCGGCTTGGCTTAGGGATCCTAGGAAACAATGAAAACATCGTGTCATTGAGGAGGCTATTCTTCCGGATTCCATACGGGTAGTTTTTAAAAGTTCCCTCCACATAGAAAGATATCTCTGCCGCTAAGAGAAGGAGTATGCCAGATGCATTCACATGTCGCTTGAAAGCTTTACGCGCTCTAAGCTAAACAGATTGTATTCTTAGTGAGAAGGTTCTGGCAGAACAGTAGTGATATTCGCTGTGACAGAATTGTGCAGGACGAGTTCTGCCTCAGATTTGATGATTGAATCTGTCTTCATTGTCCCTGTTTGCATTGCGGTGGCCATGAGTTGTTAGCCTTGCCTGTCATGAGAGTCAGTGTGGCGATGAGGGCACACATTCTGTTTAGTAATATAGGGGAGATATAGGGATAATGGAAAAGAAAATGGAAGCTATTATAATGGGTTCTATAGGGAATGTAGGATATATATATATATATATATTGGGGTTGTGCTGGGCAAAGTAATTGCGCAGTATCCCCGAGACCCAAGGTTTTTGCCCGAGCCGAACCCTCAAGCCCCGTGCGCTGATCAGTAAACTTTGAACTTCTACACCTGCACCCTAAAGCCCGAAACCCCAAATTGCAAATCCTAGACTCCAAACCTTAAAAGCCCAAACCCTAAACCCCGAACCCCCAACCTTAAATCCAAACCCAAAAGCGTAAAACCCAAACCCTAAACCCTAGCCCTCATCCCCAGACCCTAAATCTTGTGGTTTTTTGTTCTTAACTCCAAAGCATTCGCACTTTGCCAGGAATCAGGGCCTGCGCAAGCATGGCCTCCCAGGACACCATGGGGATCATATTGAGTAGATAGGGGTAGGGTCTAGGGATTGGGGTTCAGGAGTTTAGGGTTTTGAAGTTCAGGATTTAGGGTTTAGGAGTTTAGGGCTTCGGGTTTAGAGGCTCTGAGTTTTTGAGTTGTATAGGTGTGTTCTGGGGGCTTTTTCGGGTTATATGTTGGGTTAGACTCCCCCACCCATTCATCGTGGTAGACTAGAAGAGGAAGGGACCCCTCTAGAATTGCCATGCCATGTTTTTTGCCATTTACTGGTAGGGGTGGGGCTGGAAGCACCACCAAAGTTATATAGGGGTATACATGATTGTATATATATATATATGGGGGCGAAAAGGACATGGAAGCTACTTATACAGAAATATAGACATATATGCATATTCTGAAAGTTCAGCCTGCAGGGGGAAGGGAAAACCTAGAAGGCATGTCGGAGTTTTGTTTTGAATTTGTTTCTTTTGGTGTCAGGTAGGGCTTTCGTTGCACTGGATAGGATCCCTTGAGAGTATTGACCAGTGTACCTAGGGCGTTTAAGTTACCATATTCTGGTTCTCTTATGAGAAACTCAATTTGGGGTGCTGTTTTTTGGGGAGGAGGGGCCCCTGTTTTCCTCAGATTCCATTTTTGGGCTTCCTGGGCTTTCTAAGGGTACCACGCTTTCAGGACCCCTCCAAGCATCCCATCATGGTGGTGCCACCAAGTCTGAGAAAAACACCACGACCCCTAAACCTTTAAGTTCAAGCCAAGAACCTTAAAGCCAAACCCTGAGCCCGAACCCCAATCCCGAAACCCAATAAACAAGATATTAAACCCTAGACCCGCACCTTGAACCCTTGACCTTGAAAGCTTATAGCCTCCCTGAAACAGATAGCACTTGGAATTGCCCGAAAATCATAATAAGATGCCCAACCGTAAACCCTAAAGCGATTTCTATCTACTGAAGGGGGACTGTAACCCCAAACCCTAAACCCTAAACCTTCTTTGGGACGCTTTATGCACCTGCCTAAGTGGGCTTTCCATGCAGTTGGAAAAAGGTGTGGCAAAAAAAAAAACCTAAACCCCAAACCCTAAACCCGAAACCCTAAACCGCGCCGCGTGGCTGCACAGGAAGCAAAGCGAGGGCACCCCCGAGCTCAAGGTTTCCCCCCGACCTGCGTGGTTATGTTGGGTTATAGAGGGCATATGAGCTATAGTCTTAATTCCTTAAAGGGGGTGATGTAGGGGATTATACAGGGGACTACTATAG